ACACACCAACATCGTTTAAATTCTTGGAACCAACCTTTTCTTAATACACCAGCTCTAGAACAATATGCTCAAAGCATTCATGCCCGTGGAGCTCCTCTTCAATACTGTTTTGGCTTTGTGGACGGGACCTTGTGCAAGATATCTCGCCCAAAGAATAATCAGGGTGAAGTTTACAATGGACACAAACGTGCGCATGCATTAAAATTTCAGAATGTTGTTCTTCCAAATGGGCTCATAGCCAACCTAAATGGACCCTATGAGGGGCGAAGGCACGATGCCACGATGCTCTGTGAATCAGGCTTACTAAGGGATCTCCAAGTAGTTGCATGGGCAAATGATGGGAGGCCGTTATGTTTGTACGGCGACCCAGCATATCCTTTAGGCATCCATTTACAAGCTCCATTTAGAAATGTTCCCCTCACCCCACAGATGGCAAGATTCAATGATCATATGAGTGAAGTCAGAGTAGCTGTAGAATGGATGTTTGGCTGCATTTTAAATTACTACAAGTTTGTTGAGTTCCAAAAACAGCTAAAGATTGGCCTTAGCCCTGTTGGCAAAATGTACCTGGTTTGTGGAATTCTTCAAAATGCCCACACATGCCTATATGGGAACATCATTTCGGATTATTTTGGTGTTGACTCCCCAGACCTTCTAACTTATTTCTGGTAAAATATACACGGGTGTTGTTTACGATATTTCTGATGGTTAATGTTGTTCAAAGGTTATTTTCATTATAGATAACTGTGTTTGGATGTAAAGATACACTGGGACACTGCTGATAGCCAGGTCTTTTTAAGTAGTGAAAAGTGTAATCATTGTTGTTTAAGTTGTTTTATATATACATTGTGAGAAATAGTCTTAGCTTTCCACACCATTTTGTGCAACATAGTATTCAAGCAATGTGGAATAAAAATAATTAAATATCATTGTCATTGTATTCTTTAATTGATGCATTCAATGATAAAACACCCTATAGGGTTCAAAAGTAAGCCTTAACGTTGCTGGCAAAAATGTCTTTTGTACCTAAGATTATTTAGGTTTTAACTTTAATATTGTTAGGGGTAGGAAAGAGAAAATTCATGTGTACCAATTTTACCAGAGGACTTTTAATAACAGCACTAACATAGCACAAGCTCACCATTAGCATTTACGTCCAAGACGAACATGACTAGCGTTAAACATAAAATCTCTTGATTTCTGCATTAAATAAATGGTGAGATTGGACTAACTGTGTAACTTGCTGTAGGTAAACTGACTAGAAAAAATACACGCATGTTTTAATTTTTCTTTGAAAATACAACAGCACACAATCCACATATCAAACTTTTATTACTAAAACATCCCCATTAACTGATTCCTTTTCAGTACCAGCTGTATAATGTTTTGAAATATGAAAATTGGAAGCCAAAATTTAAGGGCCTATAATTATGTAGTGTTCAGGATCAACAGGCCATGGTCACGTTACATTATGCGTAACCAAGTAACAATTATAAATGACGAGAAAAGGTAATTTCAACTAAATGATGAGAGTTAAATAAAAAGTAACACTCCTTTAAGAGGATTATTTCACCCCAGTTTATGACTAAAACGAGCTCTCAAACAGTAAACAACATTTTCGAAGAGTAAACAATGTTGAACCTTCTCTCAAAAACTAAAGATAAAATTTTGTTATAATGGTACTAACCATAATGCAAACATCATTTCAAACTTTATTTTTAACAATGCATAAGCAAAAGTAAATTGAAGTTTAGTCTTTATCCTGTTTTGAAGTGAAAAGCTGAGGCTGTTGTTGCTGCTGTTGCATAATACTCATCATCTGCTGCATGAGCATCATTTGTTGTTGTTGCTGTTGCTTTTGGCTTTCTCCTTGCATTTGAAGTTGCTTCTGTATAAGCTCCATCTGCTCTTTCCTTTCTCTTTGCTGGAACTCTCTTTCTTTTCTTTGCTCTTCAAGCTGGAGCTCTTTGTACTTAAAATCTCGGTCCGCTTTTTTTTCCAGCCACGCCAAGGTGTCCCCTCCAGTTCTTCGTTTCTTTCTTTCCTCGTCGTCCTGGAGCTCATCAGATTTTGTTCTTTTTGAAGTTTGGCCCATTGTTTCCATTGCTCTTTTCCTTATATCAAGAGCCAATTCCTTTTCTGCACTGATTTTTTCTTTGGCACTTTCGGCTTCTGCATTAGCTTTCTTGTCGGACTCTTCACTTAAGTGAGTTAACTCTTCCAGTAGTAAATCGTATTCTCTTAGTTCGTCTTCGCTACCTTCGCCGGTACTTTTTAGTTCTTCGGCATTTTTCGCCTCATACCTTCTTAAAATCAGAGTAAATCTGTCTCTAACACCTCTCAAAGTGACAGAATGAAAGAGATCTTTGTGACCATTCAGATTTTTGGCGATAGCTTGCCAAACAGTGCCTCTTTCTCGGCTTCCAGACTTGAATTGAAAAATCCCTCGAGCGGCCATTTCTCTCATGAGTAAAACATCCTTTTCTTCCGTCCAGCTCAT